TGTATTCAGTTTCAGAATTTTATATTTTTCTCTGATGAACTATTTACTGTTTCAGCCTCTATTTTTAAAATCTAAAACATGGATATAATAATGGTGTCTTTTATTATTGGGTTATTTTGAGAATTAAATGATACAACTTGTGCTAAAAACTCAAAATGGTGACAGGGCTGTAGTAAAGGCTGAACGCATCCATGTTACTATGTTATTTTGTTGCTAGGATTTCTAATGCTATTGTATCTTTTTTCTGGGGTTGCTAATTACCCTTAGAGTTAGTGTTCTTGCTGGCACCAGTGAAAATGTTTTCATTTCTCTTGAGGTTCACTGGACACATGCTTGGTGATCCCAGGGGTGGCACTGACACCTGCCTCTGGAGAAGGATGCCCATGAACTCTCAGTATCTAGCTATAAAGGTCCTGCACAGGCCAGGAGCAGTGAAACCTACATAGACCAACATGATAAGTGTGCAGTCTTTTTCCTATTGTTCCTCTCTTCTCAGAATGAGTGGTCCTTCAGATTTTCTCTACCACTGTCTCAGTTCCTCAACTAATACTGTCATGTTCTAGGTGAGTTTAAGAACCCTGGAGATGGCAGAAGGAGGGACAGGTGGAGGTACGCGCATGTATCTACAAAGGACAAAGACTGAAGCAAGGAGAGGAAATGCTTATGTGGGAGAAAGAAAAGGAGTCGAATGGACAAAATATATGAGAGAGGGATTGCACCATGTCAGACCATAGGTGGGGAGACATCACTGGAACTTGCGGTGGATACTGGGACAGAGAGAAAGGAGAGTCCAGAGACAGGACTAGAAAGTATCAGGACAACATGGTGACGAATCGTTCTTGATGAAGATTTGAAGGCTGCTCAGATCAGATGGTGGAAGGAAAGGGGTGCCAGTGGACTACTCATAGAAATATCTTAGATTTGACCACCATCTCCTTTAGGTGGAACAAGGAAAATATTAGATAAACATTAATTTACCAGTTTCACAGCTCATTTGTTCAAACAATTCTTAAATGCTAGCAATGCAACAGGCTCTTTGATTAGTGCCATGAACTCTTATCCAAAGCGGAGGAAAATTCTTTAATTTTTTTTATTTAAATTATTATTTGTATGTGTGTGCATATGTGTCATGGATGCTGCATGTGTGGCGATCAGAGGACTATTTTCAGGGCTTGTTTTTTTTAGATTATTATTTGTATGTGTGGTGCATATGTGTCATGGATGCTGCATGTATGGCAATTAGAGGATTACTTTCAGGGCTTGCAGTTCTGCAGCCGTGAATCAGATCCCCAGCCTTGTGTGTCAAGGCTCAGCCACACCAATGGCCCATTTTTTTCTTGGTAATCTGGGTGTCAGGTTCAAACCTGGGAAGTCCACCTCATTTTGCCTTCCTGCCCCGTGTCCTGTGGAGCACATGCAGACCCTGGGAGAGCCCGGTTTGCTTATGGAGTTGGAGCTTGCTGCTGTTTCTCTGCATCACAAGAGCACAGCAGATGATCATCACACACGACACAGTGGGTCGCTCAAATTTGGGTACCATCTCTGAAATATTCACAGAGAGTTAAACCAATAGGTAGGTGGGCATTTTTCTTGAACTGCTTAATTAAAAAACTTGAGTTATGCTTAGTAGCAGAGGTTGTGGGGTCCAGGGCTTAGAGAGATATCAATAAGAACATGTAGATTTTTGTTAGGCAGGGGTCTATTTTGCACCATAGTGAGTGTGGTTAATAAGAGCATATTATATATCTAAAATTGTTCGGAAAGTAGATTTTAGATATTATCACTGAAAATGAGGTGTAATTATATATATATATGTATATATATCTTCACTTTACTAGATATGCCACAGTGATTATATATATGTGAGTGTGCATTTGTATATAGTGTTATATACAATACATACACTTTTTTCTCTAAAGATGTGATAGTGAGTTAGGAGACTCTCTGTGCCTCTGCAGCACAGCTAATGCTGGCTTTAGATTGTGAAAAGATGGGACATCCTGTCTGAGTGCCCGTGAATAGGAGTGAGGGCTACCAACATGTTAAAAGATAAACAGGTTCCAAATCGGTTCCCCTATTATATGCATATATGACAGTTAAACTGTATCCAATTAATAAGAAAAGTTAAAGGAGAGCAAATGTCTTGTGACCCAGCATGCAGTAAACCTGCTATAAAGTGTGCAGGTGCATGGCGTCATTGTGCAGTCTATGGAGTCAAAATGGTAAAAAAAAACATTTGAAATATGAAATGCATCTACAAGGAGGATGGCAAAGTGAAATTAATACATGTATTAATAAGTGTCTAGGTAATTCAGATAGGCACAAAGCAGCTCATAGAGTTATCTAACAATTACATAGGATGGGATTTGTGAGTACATTCTAATATATTATGATTATGATATTAACAGTCTTCCAAATTCAGACTGTAGAGATAAAAAGGCCTTTGTGTAACTCCAGAAGAAGGAATGGACAATGGTGAAAGCTAGGTAGGACTTGACATAGGGAAGAAAAGGAGCAGAGCCTGGATAGCAGCCATGAGGAAGCATTGATTCCTAGCCTGGACATCTTCTCTGTGGCTCTACTCCAGCTTTCTTGGAACTACAGTTACCCTTGACACTCCACAGTGTCCCAGGAACTTCTGTAAATGACAGAGACACTTTCCCCTGGTTTCTGTTAAGACAGTGGGTAGTTTTCAGAGTACCTGCAGAAATTCTGCTGGGTGGTTCTGAGCCAGGCTAAGTCTTGGTCTGGGTCTAGGCTTGGTTTCTGAGATACCAGGTCCACCTGAGAGACCCGTTTGTGGGTGACTCTCTTCTCATTGGTGCTTCTGCTCCATTTCACCCTCTTTCCTCCTGGGGAAGGTGTTTCATTTGGTCTTATCTGAATGAAGAATAGTGTCTCAGTACGGTGTTCCCTCTACCATGGTATGCAGGCGTTTTGCTTCCAGGGAAAAATACAGTAGGATAATGGCCAAACCAACAATGGTGACAGGATAACAGCCCTCACTGTCTCAGTCTGGGTGAACTCTGCAACCCTCACAGTTACCCCTCGAAGTTGATTATTGTTCTCTCATCGCTGAGGAGAAAATAGAGGCATACAGAAGTAAGGTGACGTAACTGAGATCATTTATCTGGGCCTGGCTGGGTAAGTCAGCATTGCCATCCATTGCCTGGTCTCACCTTCATTCCCATGTCTCCTTGCCCCTTCTCTACCATTCTGGCTTTCTGTCTCTTTTGTAAAATCATGCTACTATTCCTTTAGAGCCCTAGGAAGTGTTTTCTGTTCTTTGTGACCCTCACTCCCAGTTTTGACCTGTGTGAACCTAGAATCTTTCAGTACTGTTTGGCCGAGTAACAGCAGGGCTGAGGTGGTGGCCCCAGAAAACACGCAGTGACAGTTCTCCTTTCCAGTCAGTAGGTCCTTTGCAGGACTTCATCAATAGCTGCCTACGCCCTTGGCACCTCAGTCTTGTGGTTATACCATATAGTTGCAAGCAGAGAGAAGGGATTGATTAAGGGCTTGTATCTGGCACATACTGCTTTATTAAAACAGGGGTAAATTAGTAAGTAGCTGAATTTGGGCTTTTGTTTCTATAAATCACCACTCCAGGGTAGTGATTAAAAAAAAAAGGAAGAGCTAAATCCACCAAAGCGCAGTTTCTCCTGAGTGGATTCTCAGCAAATGTGTATGAGATATGGCTTGAGAGGTGTCACATAATGAGTCTTCCTGGGCCCTTACCTGTTTGGATCTGGCTCTGCTCTTTCCCTAGTGTCCACTTGTAATCCATAGGGCTGTGCCTTGATCCAGTACATTTTGAAGTCAGGAGGATGGACCCTTGGTCTGAGGATTTTTTCCCTTTGAATGGCTTCTTCCGCAGAGCTCCTGGAACACATTTGTCAGGATATCTGTCTAGTTTTTTATGTGCTGTCTTTATAGTTTTTCTTTTTTCTTTCATGGCATTTATTTATCTGAGATGAGAACCCATTCTCTAGCTCTGCTCTGTCTGGAGCTCACTGTGTATTCCAGGCTGGCCTCAGACTTGAGTCCTTTCTTCTGCCTTGCCTTCCTGAGTGCTGGAATTTTAGGAACTTGTCATCATGCCCAACCCATGGAGTTTTCTTCAAGGTCCAGTCTAGATTACTAATAACTAACCTTTTCCACTCTCTAAACAGTTGACGGATAATTAGCATCAGAGGCAAATGTTCTATGAGCATTGGATAGCTAAGACAAGGATTTAGAACACTTTTTAGAAACATGGAGACTTGGTTACTTCTGGAATGAAGGAGAAAGCAGGGCCATGTTGGACTTGGTAAAGGCCAGGGGGACAGAATAGAGTGATTCTCTCCTGTCAAGACAGTTTCTCTAGAAAAGGGGTCTGTGGGCTTCAGGTTTTACATGAATAAGGAGGTGTAGAATTGATCAAAAGGTGTTTATGGAACTTTCTGAAGCACAGGTTCATGAAGAGGGTGATGAATATTACTTCTTCGGTTTCATTGGCTGCCCCTGTTTACTGCCTTCAGGGATGCCGTGAATCTGGGTCACAGTCGTTAAACACATCTCTTAGTTGCCTTCCAATTTCCACATGGCTCTCCATGTCCATCCCAGGGAGTTATGAGGGCAACTTTCCCGAGAAATGTTCAAAGTAATAGGCAGATAAACTATCCAATTGCATTATAATCGAGTTTAGTTAATATGTCTTCAGGAAGGAGATGTATTAAGAACACATTACAGAGTGGTGTGTCTTAAGGAGCTACTTAGGCTAAGAATTGGGCAAACAGAAGACAAAGGGGAGAGAAATTTAGGTGAACACAGAAAAAGTGTCAGGGAAGGAACAAGTACAAGCTGTGTGGAGAGCGATTTGTACTTATATGGAAATGGTAGAATGAATGTTAAAAGGTGGGGGTGGGTCAGGACACGGGAGGCAGGGTGAGTGGAGGCAGGTACCACTTCTGTTGGTCCTTAAAGCACCTTGCCACAGAAACTGCAAATGAGACACTCAGGGCCGGAAGCCATTCTTGCATCCTGGTTACTATCTTCTAGATGAACTTTCTCTTGGGAGCTCAGCAATTCACATCTTTACGCCTGTCTTTTGCCTCTGCACACATTCAAGAGTTCCTTCTGTTCCTTCATTTCCAGCCACCCATCAGCACCGCCATGAGCATCATGATTGACAACAACATCACCATCTTCCACCCTGTAGTTTTTGTGCTCCTTGGCATCCCTGGGTTGGAGGCTTATCACACCTGGTTGTCTATCCCCCTATGCCTCATGTATGTCACTGCAGTCTTTGGGAACAGCATCCTGATAGTGGTCATCATCATAGAGCGGAACCTGCATGAACCCATGTATTTCTTCCTTTCAATGCTGGCAGTCACAGACATCCTACTGTCCACCACTACTGTACCCAAGGCCCTAGCCATCTTTTGGCTCCATGCCCACAACATTGCCTTTGATGCTTGTGTCACCCAGGTCTTCTTTGTCCACACAATGTTTGTGGGGGAGTCAGCCATCCTGTTAGCCATGGCCTTTGACCGCTTTGTGGCCATCTGTGCCCCACTGAGATACACAACGGTGTTGACATGGCACATAGTGGGGAGGATTGCTCTGGCCATTGTCATGAGAAGCTTCTGTATCATCTTTCCTGTGATTTTTTTGCTGAAGCGGCTGCCGTTCTGTCGAACCAACGTCGTCCCCCATTCCTACTGTGAGCACATTGGGGTGGCTCGCTTAGCCTGTGCCGACATCACTGTTAACATTTGGTACGGCTTCTCAGTGCCCATCGTCATGGTCATCATGGATGTGATCCTCATTGCTGTGTCTTACTCGCTCATTCTCCGAGCAGTGTTTCGTTTGCCCTCCCAGGATGCGCGGCACAAGGCCCTCAGCACCTGTGGGTCTCACCTCTGTGTCATCCTCATGTTTTACGTTCCATCCTTCTTTACTTTACTGACCCACCGCTTTGGGAGGAACATTCCCCGGCACGTGCATATCTTGCTGGCCAATCTTTATGTGGTGGTGCCACCAATGTTGAATCCCATTGTCTGTGGAGTCAAGACTAAGCAAATCCGAGAGGGTATAGTCCGCTGGTTCTTAGACATCAAGACTCAGTGTTGTTCCTCTCCTTTGGGCTGATGGGTCCTTGTGAATCTTTACATGCAGCTCCATCAAGGAAGCTAGCCAAGGAGCACAGATCTCCTGGATTCCTTCTTTTGCTTCACCCTTCTCCTTTTCCCACTTTTCCATGTTCTATTTGCCATTCCCATCTCTTTCTCTTGTTTAATGTTTGCTACTCACTTCATATCCTTAAGAACTGGAAATGATAAACTAAGTGTATATTTCTCTGATATGAGAATTTGACTTTATCAGTAATTGGCTTTATCACAAAAAGTAAGGTTATAACAAATTAATACATTTAAACATATTTAACATATGGAGAAGCCCTGATATTTTAAAGTCCCTAATACTGTTTCTTTATATAGAATCAAGTAATCTGGGCTTGGTGGTTCATGCCTGTAATTCCATCACTCAGGGAGCTGAGGCAGGAGGATTGATCTGCGTTTGAGAACAGCCTGGCTTGCATAGTCAGTTCAAGACCAACCTGAGGTATAAAGCAAAACTCTGTCACAAGCACCAAACAACCAAAGCAAATAAAAGTTCTCCACTAACTTCTATGGTATCAGATGTTTTTTTTGTTGCGAGTTTGTTTGTTTGTTTGTTTTTCGAGGCAGGGTTTCTCTGTATTGTCTTGGAGGCTGTCCTGGAACTCGCTCTGTAGACCAGGCTGGCCTCGAACTCACAGAGATCCGCCTGCCTCTGCCTCCCAAGTGCTGGGATTAAAGGCGTGCGCCACCAACACCCGGCTAAGATGTACAAAAGACTTGCATGTCTTTCTGCCTTCTGGGAAATTGTCTCCTTTAAATTTCACCTCAAGAACTACCTTCTCAGACAGGTAGTGGTGACACATAATTTTAATCCCTTTAATTCTAGCAGAGGTCGGCCAGGGGAGGGAAGGTAAGTAGGGGTACAGGAGGACAGCTACCTTCTCTGTCAAGTCTTTCTCTTTTTCTCCAGATAAGTCAAGCCTCCTTCTTTTGCATGCCTAGATCATCTCACACAAATCTCTACCTGTGCAGAATGAGTTGTAATAAGCTGCTCATTACTTTGTAACCAGAAGTGACTGTAAATGTCTTGAACCAGAAGAATATGTATGCTTCATATTTGTACCTTTATATGTGAAAAATGTTTGGCATTTAGTAAGTGTTTGGGGAATAAGGGAAAAGATGATGACCTCCCTGAACTTAGAGCATGAATCTCTGGATACACTGAAATGGTCAGTGATGTCAGTCCACAAAAACCAGTAATGGTTTATCATCCCAGAGCTAAGTCAGTGGCTGCATGCAACTCTGTGTCTCAAACCTTGGCTCTAACTTGGACACTAAAGAATAGATAAGGCAGGGAGACACACAGCTGGCTCCTGACATACATAACAGTGCTCATGGGACCAGACTGGCAGAATTGGAGTACTCTCTTAAGGGCTCATGTCCTTGACCATTGCTCCTTCATACTTATCTAGGAAAGGTCATGTCCATTTATTTCTTCAGCTACTACATACATTGTGAGCCCTAAATTCGTGTCTCTAATCTCTCTCTCTCTCTCTCTCTCTCTCTCTCTCTCTCTCTCTCTCTCTCTCTCTCTCTCTGTTTAGATACACATATCCTCCTATCCACTCTGGAACATGGAATCTTCTTTCAAGCTAGATTTTTCTCTGTGTTCCTTTTCTTGGGGAACAAATTAGGGCAATCTCATCAACTTCACCAAACAGGAAACCTTAGAGTTTTCTCAAATTCTTCCTCTCGGTTTGGCTTCTCCAAATAAGTTATTATCAATACTACTAATGATGAAATGTCTGCATATTTATATAGGTGGCACTTGGAATCATAAAATTTCATTTGAGTCTTGTCCCCATTATTTTCTGTCTATGAAGACCTGGAAATTCATTTAACATTTTTTACTTTTCACTTTTTTTTATCTTGTGGTAACTATGGGGAACTTTCATAGAGTTGTTGAGAAGGTTAAATGAAATAATCCATAACACACACACACACACACACACACACACACACACACACACGTGTATATCACTTATGTAATTGTTAGCTCAAACTCTGCAGAAACTTCTGCTAGTACTGCTATTTGTTTAATTACAGTTTTATTTTTAATACTACCTCTGCAAATTACTAATGAATTTTATCATTTTATCTCCGGTTTTGTATTAATTCCTTCCTTCTTTCCTTCTTTCTTTCTTTCTTTCTTTCTTTCTTTCTTTCTTCCTTTTTTAAAGACAGTTTTTCTCTCCGTATCCTTGGCTATTCTGGAACTTGCTCTGTAGACCAGGCTGACTTTGAACTCAGAGATCTGCCTGCCTCTGCCTACCGAGCACTGGGATTAAAGGTGTGCACCACCATGCCTGGTTTTAATTTCTTAACTGAATTAATGTTTTACATATTTTATACTTTAACCTATTTACAAGTGACTTTATGTTAATCATTGTAAAGGGTGAATGCATCAAGTTGCTCCTTTCTGCCAGATCCTCAGAGGGTCCTTCATTAATTACAAAATGTTTTTCAGGCTGGAGAGATGGCTCAGAGGTTATGGTTGCTCTTCCATAAGTCCTGAGTTCAATTCCCAGCAACCACATGGTGACTCACAACCATCCATAATGAGATCTGATGTCCTCTTCTGGCCCACAGGCAGAATGTTTTCCATAGAATAGTCTGTAGATGTAGGCATGAAATATTGATACATGCTTTATATTTGATGTTCCTTGGTCAAATAAGAGTGAAAGATACTGACATCTTTGAGTTGTGCACATGACTGTCCAGAAGAAGATAGCACTCCCAGTTTTTCATTATTTCTGGGACCATAGATATCTGTTTCCATGTCCACAAAATTATTGCTGATTTCACAGAAATTTAAATTGATAATAAATATAGTCTAGTATTCTAGTAATTAAAGCATGGGAATTTGAGTCAATAGTAAACTAAGCATTAATTTAATAATATGGTCCTGACTTAATGTCACTGTACAATAATATATTAATATATAACATAATAAATAATATCAATGATGGCAATAATGCCTATCATGATGTGGGTATAAAGTGGTCCCTACAAAAGAATCATGTGATTAAGACTTGGGTCCCCGTGTAGCCTATTTAGGTGGAACTTTTCTTTTCTTTTTTCTTTATTCTTCTCTCATACCATATATCCCAACAGCAGGCTCCCCTCCCTCCACTCCACTTCTGAGAACCTCCTGCATCCCCTCTCCCCCAGATCCACCCCTTCTCTGTTTCCCTTCAGAAAAGAGCAGGCTTCCCAGGGATAGCAAGTGAACATGGCATAACAATATGCAATAAGTCCAGGCACAAGCACTCATGTCAAGACTGGATGAGGCAACTTCGTTAAAAAATTGAATCAAAATAAATGAATTCCTGTTTTTACAATTAAAAAAAGATTAATTTATTTAACTTATGATTATTTTGCCTTCATGCATGTGTATGCACAACATATGTGCTTGGTGCCAACAGAGACCAGAAGAGATCATTGTATCTACAGAAGTGAGCCATTACATGGGTGCTGGGAGCCAAACTTAGGTCTTCTGCAAGACAGCCAGGGCTTTTACCTGCTGAACCATCTCTCCAGCTCTTGCAGGTGGTAATTTTGAGATGTGATTAGATTATGATGGCTCTGGTTTTATCAGTGGATTCATCCGCGTATGGATTTATAATTTGGTGAAACTATTGGGGAGGTGGCAGAGTTCATGTCTTACTCAACATTATAGTTTCAGCATAATGGGATAACGGTTAATCTCTCTCTTTCCCTCTCCCCTCTCTTTCTTTTTCATTTACATGGTCCTGCATACTTAGCTCTTTCTGATCTACTGTTTCTTCTTTTTCTCCAATTCTCTATATATTGAGGATTTGTGGGTATAGGTGGGATCTTAATAATCCACACACTGAGTAACAGCAGATCAAATTCACAGATGCCCCTATGCTAGTGATCTGGAGTCATCAGCAGATGTTGTATGTGCAGAAACTGTAGGAAGGATTCTCTCTGGTTTCGGAGCTGGTGATCTCTGGAGACTAGCTCTTCTGGGGTTTGCTTCTGTCTAACCAAACCAGACACCCTCTACAGAACACGGGGGAAGAAGCTAACTCCCGATCTTAGGGATCCTAAGATGAGGTACAAATATCATCCCATTTCCACCCCAGAGCCTGCATCACACGTGGAGGAAGAACTTCCTCTTCAGCCCCGGTAAACTTTGGGATAAGTGTTTGGTTCTTACGATTTTTAGGTTTTCCCTGTATGGTTTCCCTGTTGATTTTGGTAGGATGGATTTTTTTTTAATGTCGTCTGGGGAGTGGGCTATGGTAGAAGCACTCATTTTTACATCCTGAACTGCTGTGTTGTACAGGAATGGGACTACAGTTATTTTTCCCCAGAATATTAAAGTAACCAACTTAAAATATTGAAATACTGAAAGCAAGCATATTAAAAATTACAATTTCAGTTTGCTTCAGTTTGTGTGTGCATTGGTTGTGTGAGCATGCCCTTGTGCATATGCAGAGATTAAAGGACATTCCATATCTTGTCCTGTCACTCTCTGCCTTATTCTCATGAGCCTGTCTCTCACTGGACCTGAAAACTAGGAAGGTGACAAACAAACCCCAGTGACCCCCTTGTGTCTAGCCTCCATAGAGTTGAGATTGTAGACTGGAAGGACCATGGCTGTCTTTTTTGATGCATAACAAGCACTTTTGCAGACCGCACCATCTCCCCTTAGAAAGCTTTGTATTCAGAAGCAGAGTAAAGACATTCCTGTCTCCTCAAGCCACAGTGGGTTTGGCTTTTCTGTTGCTTATAATGTAAAGTAGTGTACCTCACAGACAGAAATCAGATTATGCATCTGGAGCTACAATTAGCTTTTTGTTTACTTAATTATGTGGCATGGTTGACACTTCTTTGTGCATATGTGTGTGTGTTCATGTGTGTAGAGGTACACATGTGTGTGCTTGTGCATGTGTGTGCAATCCATGTAGAGATCATATTCAACTTCAGTTGTTTTTCTGCAGGAGTCATCCATCTTGTTTTGTGAGACAGGGTCTCTCACAGAGATCTTGGACTTTGCCAAGTATCAGGCTGGACTCCAGCAAACCCCAACAATCCCCCTGTTTCACCTCCTCCCAGCAATGGGACTACAAACACATGCCACCACACACAGCTTTTTATGTGGGTGCTGGGGTTCAAATCATATCCTCATGTCTGTGTGGCAAGCTCTTTACAGAGAGAGTTATCTCTCCAGGGCCTATACATTGAAAACACGGAAACAAAACATTTTGTTGCAATATAGCTATCTTAACTTACTGCTCTAGGGTGGTTATGAAGTCATACAACTTGATATTGTAAGAATGTAGATGTTTGTAGATCCTTCTGCTGTAATTTCAGAAAATAGATGGCAGAAGTCACAGAACAGAACATTTGCAAAGTTAAGGCTTTTAAAAGCTATTGTCAAGTTGCTGTCCAAAGTGGCCATCGAAAGTTACATGTCTCAGCATTGGGAGCCATTTTCCTTATGTTTTAAAGATGATATAGTTTGTTTCCTTAAA